CGTTGGAAACGGTTCCTCCAGGGAGAGCCTGGTGCAACAGGATGGCTCCTGGGGCCTCAGCTCTGTGCCTTGAGATAGCACAGTGCCATTGCTTTGGGGCTGCGTGACACCTGCATGCATTATTCAGACAGAGCTTCCAGACCTGTGTGCTGTAATGAAAGAAGCAGTTTTCGAGGATTGAGCCTTTTACACGAGGGTTTGTCACGAGCTGTGTTTAGAAATCAGAACTTGATGAAAACGCGTGAATTGATTTTTGTAGGAAATTAAACCACCCGCAGTCGGGGTGTTCTGCATCTGAAATTGACTTTAGTGCTGTCTTGGTTTTTCTGTTAAAGAATTGCTTTTTTTGCTTTCGTGTTGGTTTTCAGCCCAGGTTTCAATGATTTTAGAACAGTGAATCCCGTGGTCTCATCTATAATTTTATTTTTAATTGATTGACTGCAAGAGGAAAATAAGTTCCTTGTGTTGTTGTGTCTTTTTTTTTTTCTCCACGTCCCACTCGATCTTTTTAACAGTAAATGATCTATTTGCTGTGCTGGAAATGTTGAACAAATGGGAGCAAGAGCAAAGCTCTGCTCTGCACCTGCAGCAAAGCTGCTGTGCCCTGCTTGGCCCGGCTCCTGTTCCTGGCTGCCCCACTCAGGTGTCTCTCGCTGTTTCCCATCCCTTGGCAGCAGTCCCGTCCTGATGGATAGCAAGTTTTTGGCAAAGGAAAACAAACAGAAAAGCAAACATTCATAACTCGATGGTGCAATGCAGCCGTCCCCAGCAGCTGGGCTGTGCCTGGGGATGAGGCCGGGCAGCCCTTCCCTGCAGCTGATGGCCCGGTGTATGGGCTTCTGCTGTCCGAAGTGGGATGGGAAAGCAAAAAGGAAGTTTTATTTTTTACTCCGAGAAAGGTATTCACCTTTTACCCACTAGGTGTCACGGTTGGGTTTGGGTTGATGTGGGAACTCACAGCGCTGCCAAGCTCAGCAGACTTTTGGGAGCAACGCCTTATGAAAGCAAGCCAGGAATTAATTTTCATGACTTAAAAGCGAAAAGCTGAGTGAGGGGGACCGGGTGGAAAGTGGAGGCTGCTGGGAGGAGAGCGCTCCATGTGCTGGGCTACATCAAGGGCAGTGTGCGTGGGGTGAGCTTCTGTAATGGGGAGAGCGCAGCCGCCCCAAGGGAACCCTGAGGGCTGTAAGTAGGGCTGGGGGGCTGCACCCGGCGTTCTCTCAGGGTCTTCCCAAGGCACGTTTCCATCTGGGACTTTTGTCCTTGCATAAGGACAAGGCTTTGGCTTTAAAGTAGCAAAAAAGCAGAGTGCTCCCGCAATCCCTCTGGAAGCTATCAGTGTAACAAATGTCTGCTGCTCCAAGCGAGCTGTCGTGTTTAACTGCATTTTGGATGATGTCTATAAAAACAGCAGCTGTCTGCATGCAAACGGGACTTTCCAGCAGCGCATAATATGAAAAAGAATCTTATTGCTAGTTTAAGAACAGAGAAAGCAAGAAAGGCTCAATGAGCTCAGATAACACCAGCTCCACATCAGCTCCAACAACGCTCCAGACATCTGTGAGAGTCATCAGATTAACGTGGTGTACGCTCCACATCCGCAGCTCTGTGCTTCTTAAGATCTAGGAGCAGGCAGTGTGGCTCTGCCGGCAGCTACGGCCCTGCGGGGCTCCCTGTCTCCTCCATCCCTCCCCTCCTCCATCCCATTCCTGTTTCTTTTCCTCCTCTGCTATTCACACTTGGTGACCTCCTTCATGAACAACAACTTCACTCTACGATGACACTCATTTACTGACGTTAACCTCGTTAGTAGCAGCTATAAGAAAGAACCTCGCTCTTAGCCTGGCACATTTGGCGTTGGCCAGAATAGGGCAAGGAAAACCTGTGCTCAGAAATCTTTAGCTTCCTACAGAGCATTCACAGAGGGGAATTCTCCTGGGGCGGGAGTATGGATGCTTCGTTCTGGCAGAGCAGCCAGCTGCATTGCAGGGCAATGGCATTGTAAAACATTGCAGGAGTTGGCAATGAGCCCAATCCCTTGCTATTTGGCAAGTGCTGGTACTTGTTTCGTTTGCACATCCAGGAGCTGAGGTGTGTTTTGCTCCATCTCTTGTTGTTTTGGGTTGCTCTGCATTCCTGCCCTGAGATGGCTCTCAGACAAAGAACACCACAGTCCCATGGGAAAGGCTGCTCCTGTGCTGTTCTTTGGCCCCTGCAAAAGGGGAAAATGTCAGGAATTTCCCAATATCATCTTCAGCTGTTGGTTCTTCATCTAAACTGTCCAGAGCTGGATGGGATGGACCAGAACCAGAACTTGTGGGTTTGCTGCTCCACCACGAGCTCCGAGGTCATCTTTGACAGGGATTAAGGAAAAAAACAAGCAAACAAACAAACAAAAAACCAGCAAAACCACATCAGACAGAACTTATTTTATGCTTTTGTGTTTTTTCTTTTCCTTGTGATTCCCACTGACACAATTGCGTTGGGCAGTGTATGAGGTTGATGTGCAAGGAACCGTTTGCATGGAGTGGGATGGGACATGCCATAAGTGTGAGGATTGCTCAGTGCAGCACTGCTCTGCTCTGGAGGAATGCTGCTAAGTCTTCCCACCCCAGGAAAGATGCTGAAGAAGAGGGAAGAAAAGAGGTCATTTTCCTGTTCCCCTCACCCCTCTGCAATTATTCTCCATCTGCTCCAGCATAGAGGCACTATTTGCATTTTGCCACCAACACTGCACTTGGAATCTGCTGCCAATTGGAACTGATGGGTTTTCTGCAACTGCCTCTGAGTTTCTCTCCCATTAACGTGGTGCTGTGCGTCTGTCCCACATGCTGCTGACTCTTCATTGACTTAAGAAAACCCTTTCCTGAAGGGACCTTCCTTCCTGTGCCCATCACCAGATGCATTATTTCATCTGAGCAGGGTTTGGTACCACCAAAAGCCAGGGAGGGAATCAATGCATGCCCTGCACTTGGGCACTGTTTTGGGGTGAAAAAAAGTGAAATTGTACTGAGGCAGAAGGGGAGGGCTCAGCACGGGCACCGAGCGAGCGCAGCACTGCTTCTTGAAGAGCGGTGGTAATGGAGAGTCATTACCATCCGTTTGCATGTACAACAACAAGAAGGGAAAAGATAAAAAATCAATAGAGGAATCAATAAAGAGCATCTTGCTTGAGGACTTGTGCCTGGAGCACATCATCATTAGGCACAGGAAGAGCGGGCACTGCTAATTGAGGGAAGCACGGGGAGTGCAGGGAGCAGCAGCTGGAAAACCCTCCGAGTTTCAAACCACTGCAGGTGCTGCTCTGTGCACAGCACAGCACTGATGCTGTCATCTGCAGGTCTCTCACCATCCCCAGCGTTTTGGGGACATTCTAATGAATGCATGAGAGCTGTGCTCCATCCCTGGGCTGCTGGGGCTGGCTGCTGGCAGCACGCTCACTTGGATCTCTGCAGTTGAGTACTGAATGAATAAACGTTAACAAATAAAGTTTGCTGGATCCACATTCAAGATGCTCTCATCTGCACCATGATTGAGTGGACCCCATGCAGCCACCATTGGGTGACTTTGCATTTTAGTTCAGTTTTTTCCTTTTACTCCTGATTACTGCCACCGTGCCATTTACAGACCCTGGGGAGGAAGGGGGAAAAATTCACTTTTAAAAACAGCAATTATTCTTAGTAAAATATTGTAAATAATTCATTGCTTGCTGGCCGTGGTGAGCTGTTAAATGCCTTTCAGCTGCTCATGTACAGCCGCTCAGCACCACTGCCACACTGAGCTCGGGGCTGTGCACCCTGTGCTCTGCTGGCTGTGTGTTCCCATGTAAATAATGCAAGCTTTCCAGAAATTCACATTTTCTATACAACCCTCTTTCAGTTATTGTTCATCGTCCTCCAGGCTCCATGATAACTGCAGGCTGTGCAGGCTCCACAGTCACTGCTGGCCAGGAACCAGCAGGCACAGCATGGGGACACTTCCCCCAAAGGCCACCAATACACCCCCACTGTATTTCCCTAACAGTGACCTTCACCATGTCTCTTTAGAGGTGGGTAAATAGCACCTGACTCATTTTACAGTGTTCAGTGTTGTCCCCAGAGTGGCACCCCCAGCACGGCACCTGCTGCTGTGGCATTTACACAGATCTGAACTTCATGCACAGCAAATGCCCAGACATAAAGTGGAAAGGGGAACAAATTTCTCATCTGCCTGTTCTGAAAGGAGTTTTTCAATTTACAATTGCACTCAGCAGAAATGGGGCTCTAGGAAATGGGGAATGAGCCACCTCTGAAGGAATGGGAGAGCTGGGGATGCATTATTTTTTATTAAAAGGTGCCATGAGACCCCTCTGGTGCCAGAAGTGCCCCAACAGCAAGCAGTGCATGCACTGCAGTTTCTGCTGACATCACTGAGCGCTGTTTTCATTGGGACTAGAAGACTGGAACACCCCCATTTGTTGCAGCATTTCTGCTGAGGCTCCAGCACGGCCTCAGTGCTTACACAGCTGTGCAGAAGTGCCTTCCCTGCAGCTGGCCGTTTGTTGCCACCACCCAATAATGCGAGCATGGTTGTTTAAATCAATAGTAATGAATTTTTTCCTCATTTCTCCTATGATAGGCAATGCAGCAGGATTACAGCAACACGGCAGGTGAGGTTTTTCCTTTATTTAATGACTGGATGCAGCAGTTCCCTCCAGCCTGTGGGCTGCATCATATCAGCTGTCACAGGAGGAGCAGCTGAAGGAGCCGCTTGTTAGCATGGTTCCTCCTCAGGAAAATGAGGATGGCTTTTAACAAAGCAGTGCTAAAGATGAGGTAAGGTGCTCTCAGCTGTGTGATCAGCTCCAGGCCCACATCCCTCATAGCCCAATTTGCCACGAGGTACCCAAGGATGGATGAGTCCCTTACAGCTGGGAGAGGGAGGTGGAGCCTCTGCAAAAGGTGGGGTGGGTGATATAAATGAAGGGCAGCCCCAGACTGAGAGTGAGTTATTTTTACCAAAGATTCCTGACCTGATGGGCATAAAGACCTGCAGAGAATCCTCTGACTGACTGAAGGAAAAACCAGGTGAGATGTGTTTCTTAAAAATTAAACTCATTAACGTAGTAATTTGCAGGAGAGCTTGGTGTGTCCACCTCCTGCTGAGTTTGTCATACTCCTCAGTTTTCTTCCCTTCCCTCTGGTTCATGAAGCAGGGGATGGCCCATATTGCTGTGGGAGCTGTCATCATGTGCATGTGTTGTGCCCCAGGTGCAGCTCACTTGGGACTTACCAACCTGGTGAAAAACAGGAGGCATCCCTGCTAATGAAAGCAACTTTGAGAAAGTTCAGGCATTCTTCTTTCTGTACATGATATGTAGGGCAGTTGCAGGTGAGAGCAGTGGTTGCCAATGCCTGTGAAACCCAAAAGTGAGACTTCCCATCAGCCTGCAAAGAAAACTTCTTGATGTGTGTTCTAAACTTCAGTGTGTTCTAAAGGGCTTTATAAAGCAGGATTAATAACACAGCCTGCACTTCACAGCTAGAAATATTAACTAGAGAGAAAAAACATTCTTCCAAGCTTGCTTGGCAGTTGAGGCAGGGAGAGCATCGCATCTAAGAAGTCAAGGCTGAGCACACCTGGTGCTCTTGAGACAGTACAACCTGAGGAGTAAAAGGAGCATGGAGCTTTAGTGCTTGTTTGCTATGCTGAGGAAGAACCCCACCCTGCTTCGCTCATTACTGCAACGTAAGTACTTAGTAAAGCATTAATCCTGCTTGTTGGTAATAGCATGCAAATTAAACACCTGCTCTAGAAATCTGTAGTGCTTTGTTCCATTAGATGGTGTTGACGTGTCAGATATTTGGGCTCTAATGCAGAAAAATGGTGCCATTTTCATTTATCTTGCCTAATAAAGAACGAAGGTGTGCACTGATACAGGGCTGCCCACAGCAAGCGACCGTGTGAAAAACAGTGTTTAATCTAGCCACTAAATTACATGTGACGTCTCATTTAAAGATAAACAGCCTGAAGGCATATGTCCAAGTGGCACTGATGAAATTTTTAAGCATTTCTTTGAATTCTCATTTAACCTCAATTTGGTAGCAAAGGTGCTTTGTTGGCTGTGAAGAATTGCTTCTCCTGCTCAGGAAGCAGCAGGAGAAAGCTTTAATGGGAGACATGGAGATGAATTGACCCCCTCCAGTCCCATAGGACCCAACAGATATCGGTCGTGAGATGGGTGGAAGGCGCTCTTGTGCTCTGGGATGTTAAAGCACACAGCTCCCTATTTGCAGAGCTGGACTTTTACAAGAGACTGTGTGAGTGTCTGTGTACCTAAGGTCATCACTCATCTCTTTGTTTCAGTTCCTGTTCATTCAGCCTTTTTTTTCCCACTGTTCCTTGGGCTGTTCTTGTTTTCCTCTGGTCCTGCTGAGGTGTGATGCACATCTAGACCAAATAATTCAGCTCAGGTACTTCCAGTGCAAAACAGAGGGGGTTCACTCTTGTAGGGCTGGGTTCCTGCTTGTGCAATGACAGCACCATTTTTCAGCAGGGCTTCCTGCAGGAATCTCTCTCCTGTGGGCCATCCAGAAGAAATGAATTCCTTGTTTGTGTGTGCAGCTGGGGGGCTTCTGCACCTTGTACAGCCTGTTCCTAGAGGCACACAGAGGGGCAAAGCGCCTTGTGATAGAAATAGGACTTCCAGAGGGCAGGCACAAAGTGCTGCATTCTCTTGCTTGTGCTTGGTTATCTTTTGTAGTGGCTGCTTGAACTGGTGTCACTAGGAGGCATTTCCGTTGCTGTTTCTGGATGGTAGCCTTTGACTTGCTTTCAACTTTCTTCTTTTGAAGAACACTCCAGAAATAAGCTCTGATTTATTTTTGTCCAGCTCTCCAAAATTGTGTACCAGTGATATTGTTTTCTTACTTGTCTTTCCCCCATTGTATGGCTGGCAGTAGCAGGAGCTCAGGAGAGGCTGTTTTTGTGGCTGGACACTGAACACTCAAATGCTCAGGATGCAGAGCTTCAAGTCTTGAAAATCCCAATCCCAGCCATGCCAAGAAGGCAGGCAGTAGGCACTGTTAGACCATCCATCCTTCTAAATCTTTGCTTAGCCTTGCTTAACAGGATTTCTTTGCATGTTCTCGAGCTGTCCAGTTATCCTAGTATTTGATCAGGCCTGTGGCCACCCATTGCCAGCTCCAGCACTGCCATACATCAACTCCATTTCTCTTTCCTTCCCCTTGAGCAACATCAACCTCCGTCTACAATGTGGTGCTCAGGATTTCCTGGTGTGTGGTCACTTAGCATTCAGCACTTGAGAAGATCACATACCTCTACTTGTTCAGTCTTGATTTTGATCAGAAGAAGAGCTGATGTCATTTCAGCATTCCTAAAGCTCTGCTCCCTCCTGGCTTTTTTTAGAACAGTTTGATAAACAGCCTGTGCTTTGTTGATTCTTATTTCTGCATCTCGAAAAATGTGGCAATATCCATAATAAACACAGCCTGGGATTGCTTGTGGAGAATATTTGCTCTCTTAGAACAGGAAAGGGATCTATTCTGATGATGGCATTTAAGACTTGCCTTATTAAAAATGAGAAAATGGATTCATTTCCCTTCATGTAAAACAAAGTGCAGAGTTTTTTTTCTTTCAGTTTAATTAACAGTTTGCCCTCCCATGGCTCTTTCCAACTCTTCACAACCCTTTCTGGTGCCTGGCCATGCAGCTTACCTCTAGCAAAATGCTCTCGGCCTGCATGGCACCTCTGGATGTTGTGCCACAGTCAGCCCTCTATTTGTGGTTGGCACAGACTTCCTGCCTGTCTCTGCGGCCATAGGGAAGTCACATTTCCAATCCCAATGCCTCTCTGGTGCTGTGGGTATCTGGTGGTGGAGATGGCAGCCTGTGAGAAGTTGGACCTGCTCCACCAGCAGCTGAGCAGGAGCTGGGGATGCACACAATCATAGACCCATAGGGGTTGGAGGAACCTCTGGAGATCCTCCAGCCCCTGCAGTAGTCTGCAGATGATTCCTCAGACCAGCTCTGCTCATTTACATCCCTGATGTCCCTGGACATGATAGGCCCATGATTAGCACAACTAGCCAGAAAATGTATTCCAGAGTGGTTTGTGCAGCAAATGCTTGGGGAAGCTGTTGAGAAGCCAAGGGTGTCCTAGAATCATTAGGGTTGGAAAAGTCCACTTCAGAGCATTTAGGCCAACCGTGTGTAGTTGGGGCCGTGCTGGGTATCCTCCATTACCATGCTTCTGCAATTGTGCATGAGGTGTTGCAGTGAGTCACAGCAATGACTGTTAATATTTGGGTGGCCTCACCTGATTTCACTCGGCATGGTGTAGGTGATTTGGAAACTCACAGGAGCAGTAGGCTCTGAGCAGCCCAGGGAGCATGCAGGGGCAGCTCCTGCCAGCCCCAGCCTGCAGGCAGACCTCTCTGTGGCACCTCTACTCCCCTCAAGTGCACTCAGATAGCATGTTAAGGTGCCCCCAAATCATCATTGTATGCTTATGGGGCTCCCTATGCTTTTGTTCTGCTTTGTGTAACACCCTTGAATGGCAAATCCAGGGCTCTTCTGGCCCACATCTTTTTGGCATCCTTTAGCAGGGCCCTTATGGGCAATAGCTGCAGGGTGGGTTGTGATCTCAGCTCACGGTGTGAAGGGAATGGGGTGTCTGAGAACTGCTGGTGTAACAAGATGTGAGTGAACATGGCAGCAGGGAATAGCTCCTTAATTTAAATAACGAGCGTCCCTTGCTGCCTGACAGATGGTCACTTTCTGAGAAATGCAAAGTCTTTTTGGAGGGTCAGGCTGCGTGTATTTACATGGAATAATGAGGGAGAGACACTGGTCCCAACACATGCTGTGTTTTTCACATTTTTCCGGGGGTATTCCCAGCTGTCTCTGAAAAGAGCAGATTTGATCCTTTGCGAACCTTGTGTGAATCAGACCACGCGTTGGCACACGAAGAAACCAAGTGGCCGCAGGAACGCCTCTGGTATTCAGGCAGCCATTACAGTGCCCTTTGAGCATCTTTAGCTGTTAGAAATGAAGCTCGATGCTTTTGCCAGAGAACATGCTGGGCTTGAATGTGCCCTTACTTGTGCAGGGCTGGCGGCAGTCCAGCATGCAGCTATCTGCACTCTGGTGGTGTCTCTGGGAGTTAACGTGGGGGAAGATGGATGGATGGCAAAGAATTTGCTCAGGGGTAGGGCATCTTCCTACGCCTTCCCTTCTTGCTGCATCCACTTTTAACGTAAGAACTGGAGGTCAGGTGCCTGAAGTCATGCTTTAACCAGTATTTATCCCACCAGTGCTGATGCAGTATGAGCAGCGGAGGTATAACTTGAATGAATGGCTGAAGGAGTTCTTCAACCACCCTGAAGCCCTGTGGAGGAACTCTTGGCAATGGGTACCCTAGACACTGTTTCTCTTACTGTTTATAAACCACGATTTAGGCTAATGTTTTACCACAGGTGAAGTCAATAGAGTCCCATTAAGGTTTTCTTGAAATGGAAAAGAACAGAAACCCTAGCCTTGATCCAAAGAGACCCACTGTAGTTGTGTCATCTTTCCCTCTTCTTGTATCTGGGTCTCTCGTTCTGCACCACTTCACTCAATGCCAAGGAAGCATGAAGTGTAAAAGCCTCGTGAGTTTGAAAACATCTAAAGGCAGCTGAGAAAGGCTCCCCAAAATTCAGCAGTTTCCTACATCAGTGCCACGTGGCTTCTGATCTGTGGGTAGCGCTGTGTTTGGAAGAAGCCAAGTCAATCAACACCCACTTTTCACAGTGAGTCACTACTGGTGTCAAATTCTGGTCCATGCCCAGTGCCAGAAAGTATTCTCCTCTAAATGGGGAGTGTGCCATGCCAAGCTGCAAAATCACTTGTTTCCCAGACATGACCCTCAATTATCCACTCCCTGCTAAGTCTAGGAGATGGAAAGCTGTGTTGTATTGTGATAAGGTTTTTTTTCTCCCCATTTAGTTAATACCTCTCTGAAGGTACCTACTGCTTTTCTGCATTCCTATGCTCAGGCCAGCAGAGCAACAGGAGATTTGGGTCA